AGTGCCACAAACCAGAAGCGCTAAGAACCCCCCCCATCCTTCTTGATGGGAAGCAGTGAGCAACTGTGCCGAACACCTGTGTCAGCCCCTGTTCCTGGGAACCCCTCAGGCAAGCTCTCCTGCAGCATCCAGGGATAGGGCTACCCCCTTCTAACTTGTACTTCTGTCCAAAAACTTCTCATAGAAATATGACAGTAGTTACTTTTGGCAGATCGCTAGAACCTCAGTGTGTTTAACTACTGTTAGAGAGGATGATTTAAATCACTCGTGAGCTAAATATTTTCCTATAAGCATCTTAAAGGAAACCAGGGTAGTGAGTCTCCGTTTATGGCAAGAGAAAAGGCAACACCTCCATCACTACCATGTACAGCCACTCTAACTAATGTGAGGGAGGGGGAGCTTTGTGTGAGATGTGGAATGACTTTATTCCAGAGACGGACAAGAGTCTGCAGCAGTCTTTTCCCAATAACTAGCTGAGAATACAGGCCACACTGAATCAATGAAATAACTGGTCAAGAAATGAGATGGAGGAAAAGTCAGACAAAATAATAGAGTGACTTAGGCTAGTACTCAGTAATATATATGAATGAATAAATTGAGTGAGTGAATATGCAAATGATTTTCCATACTGCCAAAAAATTGTATAACCTCAAAATGAACGTATATTCTGGTGATTCAATAAATCCTGCGCTTATTTAGTGCTTATTTTATGCAGGCCACTCAGGAAGACCCTGTGCAGAAATCAATAATGAAGAAATGACTAGTGCAGAGCCTATCGTGGAATCATACGTTTAGTACAACAGCAGAACTACAATTCACAAAACCCATTTCATCTTCAGAATTCCACATGGGGTTTAGAGACCTGCTCTTTTCTAGTATTCTCTTAGCCTTGGCCACTCTTCCCCCACTATGGAGGTAACTTTCACTATGGAGCTTAAATTCACATAGCTTCATCTTCAATACCTGTGCTGGATTCCAGGAAATATTTCATCCACATATTGATATTGGTATCTCAAACATAAAGACTTTCAGAATAATTCATCCTTCCCCCCCAAAAAAATGAACAAATCAATTTAACAAAACCCAACTACTTCTTCTGACTTCCTTAACTATGAATTATGTGGTCTTTATTTAATTACTCAGGTTGAAAACTTTCCCTTATCACTCTTCCAAGTCACCAAGCCCTATTGAGTCCACCTTCAAAATGTCTACTGGAACCTCTCCCTAGGTGTTTTCACCATAGTCCTGACTTCTTTGCCTTCTTGCTTGATGAATGCAGGAGTCTCCCATCTTACTTCTCAATCAACCTTAGATGAACATTATATCTTAATTAATCCAAGACACAGCCCTAAACACCACCCTAGTTTTCCAAAACAAATATTACCAATGACTTCCCAAGTCTTACAGAATGAAGGCTAACTAACTGTTTTGCACAAAGATTCAAAGTTCTTGATGACCTGAGCCCAACTTGCCTCCACATTGTCCTTTTGTGTACCTCGAGCTGCAGTCAAACTTGCCTGCACCCAAAAAGCCACTTCAATGCCAGATCCTTAAACACAGAAGTGGAAATCTTCCTAGGATCCAACGTCTCTGTTGAGCAAACCCATGCATCCTTTAAGTTCCAGCCCCTTATTTATAAAACTTCTCTCTTTTCTAAGGACCCTCAAAGAATGAGTGGCAGCTTGCAGCTCTTTTGGAGCCCTTATTGCTTGGTATCTTACATGGGGATCATTTGGTTACAACTCTTCAAACCAAATGTATTCAAGCCCATGCCATGAGCAAAAGCAATTTGAGAAGTTTGTTGGGAAGTCAAATTCATTCTCCTTGAGAATGAAAGAAAAGAGACTTTCAAAATGAAATATGGTGGAGTGGGGAGTTATTCATGCATTTGAATGAAACTTGGAACCAAACAAAATAATGACTAAAAAAATACCTTTTAGATTTAGTGTGATAAGATTACTGATAACCTTGGTAAGACCAGGCATGATAGAGGTGGACGATGACTGAGGAGTGATAGGGAGAAAAAAGAATGAGAGTAAGTTAAGACTTCCCAGAAATTGTTTAAAGGGAGCCAGAGCTGGAGGAAGAACAAGAATTACATGTAAGTGGATTATTTAAAGCAGGGAACTTAGGCATATTTCAACATCAGTGCTCCAAGGGGAGAAGGTGAACACACTAAACAGGAAAGTCAACATTTCCACAGTGTCCAGAGATAGTGGGGATTAAGCACAGGTGGAAGGGGACTGGTCCTCAAAGAAGACACCATCCTCCACTGTCTGCCCAGAGAGGGACTCCAACCACTCTAGACTCAAGCCCAACTTCTGGGCTTGAGGTCAGCATGCTCTCTCCAAAGAGCAATGTCAAAGAATAACTTATTTATTCTTAGTCTAATCATTAAAAGGGGTTTTATTCCTGTAGAATAAACATGAATAAATAAGAATTTTGAGGAAAATGATACTGAACATTCACAAACATAGAGGTGTATAGAAACTTTTTTCTTGCATAATAAAATAATAGAAACACAGAGTTTTATATAACCTAGCTCTAATTTTGTAATAGTTTCTAATATATTGATTTTTCAAATGTGGAAAGTTTTTTGATAAATTTATTTGACAGCTGAAAACTATTGCTATAAGACAGCTGGGAGGAAGCAATTCCCATCTCCCCAGTTCCTTTTCTACCAGTCACTTTTATTCATCACGTGACTAGAATGATAACAGTAGAAATTTCCCTTCCTTCTAAGTATCAGCAACAACCTAAAGCCATACCACCCTAACTATGCCTGGTCTTCTCTAAGTATCAATGTTTTCTCTAACCTAATGATTTTTCTGAAAATAAACATTGACATTTTCCAGTTAAAACTGGAAAACTCTTAAGACTCTTATTTTTCTCATCTGTATAACAAACTATAGATGGCTCCTATTTAAGCTATTTCTATTTGTCACTGATGGGCACAATGGCATATCAAATGCAAAGAAACACAGAGATAAAAACAACACAGCCCATTTTGTCCAGTTGGTCATTTGAAGGCAAACATAGTTAAGAACCCCTAATCACTCCGCTGTTAAGTTTCAGAGCTACTTCTAACATTTATACACTCTAATTTCCTGTAAATTATTTACTTTATTTAAAAAGGAAAAAAATTACCCTATGTTCCTCCTCACAAAATAGTCTTACAGATATGTGATAATTACAATAAAATTATAACAATTTTCAAACCTCTTCTATTACAAATAGAAGATAGAATTCAAGACTAATTGATGAATTTACACGAAGCTATATGGTTTTGGTTGGAATTATAAATGGCAAACATATGGAAAATTCAGCTGTGGAAAGCAAGTAACCAGAAGCACACCAATTTTTAAATATTATATATTGTTATCATTAAGGCCTCTATTACGAAATGAGTTATTATACAAAGCCAAGTGGCATGGTTCCAATTCTAAAGAATTCACCAAACTAAGGACATGAGAAAGGAAAAAGATAGCTATACCATGATCATTAGCTTCCTGAAGATAACCACCAGCCAATATTCTGACCAGGCAATGTTGCCTTTCTCATTATTTAAGTCTGTTTCTGTTCAGAATTTACATTCTATCAATAAAGAGAGATTTTTTAAATTACGGGCACAACCTATGGGTTAGAATGGTGCTTAAACATGTGTGTGGGTTTTATCATGCCTTGCATGAGTTAAAACCCCTTTAGTTCTGTGAAATCCCATCTCAGTTAGAGTAATAGGCAAGGTCCTACCACTGTCTTACCAGGTTGGCTGTCCCCATTCTCTGACTTGTCAGTGCCTCACTCTCTTTCTGCACTACTGCTCCTGCCATTTCTCCAGCACACCCCTCACCCCTGCTCTTCCCCACATATCCACATGCTTCCCTCTCATGCCATCTGGGTCCCTGCCCCATGCCCTCCCTGTCAGAGAGGCTTTCCCTAGACCTGTGTTTGACATGGTCTCCATTGTTCGTTATTTGCCTTCTGTCTTCCTTCTTAGTACTTAACCAATCAACAAATGTATCAACATCTTCACTTCAGATTTTCTTCCACTACAATTAAATCTCTAGAATGTAAAACTTTCCTTATATGAATGAGTGAGTTAATAAACTAATTAATGGACAATCATTACTTTGGCTGAGAAACTTCTCCAGAGAAACAAAACTAGGAAAAGAACTCTTGATTTCTAGAAAAAAATTCTTGATTTTCTCAAATATCAGTACAACCCAAAGTGAAATATTAATGTCAATTGCATTCCTTATAAAGTTATAAGTGGATAAAAGCACCATATATAATAGGGCTTTCGAGGTTGTGAAATTTTGTATACAGAATGCCTTCTATAAGGAGAATAATGTCATTGGCTTGGATTATACCAAGACACAGAGATGTAGCTCTGTTACTAGTGCCTCATGCAATCTGGAATGACATTTTGGTTTGTGAGGTAAGTGGGTGGGACTGACGCTCTTTGTTCCTCTGAAGATCATGGTGATCTAGAAGGTTATTTGTCTCTTCTTCTTGTTTCTTTTTCCAAACATAAAAGTCGCAAACCCTTGCATTTAATGTAAGGTCACTATTTCTACAGCAGTGGATTTCCAAGAATGCTTACCACTTTTATCTTCAATTTGTTTGGCTTTAGTATTTTATTCAGTAGCATTTGTCAAATGAACATTAAGAAATGTTTGATCATCAGAAAACTTCTTATGAATGAGGTTTCCAACTCTTCAAGAATCAGTGCAAACTTACAAACCCAGTACGGAAAATGTCCTATTAGATTAAACAATCTTCCTACTTTCAGAAGTTTCTTTAAACTACTTTTCATCATCAAACCTTACAAAGAGGATACCAAGCACTGGGCTTCTGATATTCCAGTGTTGGTCATGGTTTTCAAAGTTGAGAGTGTACCGAGAAAGCACATACAAGACTTGATCACTGGCACAAGACTTGAGAACCACAGAACTCATGGGAAAGTAAAACTCTGCAAATAAGAGTCCAAATGTCCTGACCTGGTCCGTCTCCCCGTCTGCTCTCTCCTGCTCCAGGTATCCTTGATATGATCAACTTCTTGCTATGCTAAAAAAGAAAAGTATCAAGTGAGAAATCGAAATAATTCTAGAATACTCCAGAGGGAAAACTAAGCATCACAAAGAAAGTCAAGTGAGACTCACCCAAAGCTTTTGTAAGAATCATTAGGCAACTTTACTGTATTTTTCTCTAGGCCAGACTCATGTCAGAATCATAGAACTGTGAAACTTAATGCTAATGAGTAATCAACGAACAATTAAAACACAAACTTTTATTTAAGACATCTCAAGATATAGAGACAGTTGAACTGGGAAGTGGGAAGCAGGTATTTTGGAGTCATATCAATAAATCACTTGAAAATCTTTATTAATGGAGTCACGTCTATATGTAGCTGTGCACTCACACCTGTGTCACCTATGTGTACATAGCTGACAGTGACCCTGGTTTCGTTTTACTGAGACAGACAATTATAACCATATTAAAGGTCATGATAATTAACTTAAAATATACTTATAATGCAATATTACCATTGCTATGGTATTTTAGGGGAGAATATTGTAATGAGCCTTAAAATTTATTAAATACACACTGACTAGCACTTAGCAGAGCACGTGTTGTTCTAGGATATGAAGTGTAAGGATGAACAGCTCAAACTCACTGGATAACGTCTAGGTTGAAAAACAATAAAAAAGAACAAAATAAAAGCGCAAACACCTTATTTACACTCAAGCATTTTATTAGAGCCAGATTCTAATGTCTCAGAGATAGAATTTAATCATTGATCCCATGAAAATAAAGCTATGTCTTTGGAAGTTTAAGTTCCTGAAGGTTTAGTTTTTCCACTGTGTATAAGAGTTTTCTAAGTCTATCATGAATCCAAACATCCAAAATATTTTTAATATGTATAAATTTTATCATGATTTTATCATTTATTTCTGAATATGTAATTATTACAAGGGGAAGTTCATCAGTTATTCTCTACTTTTCTAGCTTGTGTCCCCAAATTACTAAATTCTATGAGTTCAAGATGTTAAGCATTTGCTAATGTTTGGAACCATGCAACACACTTGCTAAAACTGAACAGATGAAAATTATAGACATTGTTCCTGAAAATGACCCTATGTTATCAACCAGATTACATATTGAATATTTTAAAAAATAATATTTCAAAATGATACCTTAGGTTAATAGAATACCACTTTTAATATACTGGTGTCACATAACAGAGTCAGAGTTTGAGGTTATCTAGGGCAAGGTCACTTGTATGACTGTTGATTATTAATTTTATATGTCTTTATATTTCAAAGAGTCCCAGCAATTTTAAGTGATTTCTGGAGTTCCTAAATTCTTTTAAAGGACATAAATTCATAAAGAGTATTATAGATTATAACTAAATGGGATTTAGGCCAAGGATGCAAAGTTGGCTTAATGTCTGGACATCAAATAATGTAACACCACTTTCATAAGAAAACAGATTTCAAGAAGCCTTGGGCAAATCCCAACACTTCCTTCCTTCCTTCCTTCTTTCCTTCCTTCCTCCCTCCCTCCCTCCCTTCTTTCTTTCTTTCTTTCCCCTTTCTTTCTACAGTACTGGGATTTGAACTCAGGCCTTTGCACTTACTAAGCAAGTACTTTGCCATTTAAGACATGTTTCCAATCCCAACACCCATTCTTGACAAAAATACTCAACAGTCACCAGAGAAGGGAACATCTGTGAAAAATCCAACTGCAGTGTTTAATGGTGGAAGACCAAATACTTCTCCCCCAAGATTGGAAACAAGGCAAAATACCTGCTCATACCACCTTATTTTCAACACTGTACTAGAGGTTGTAGTCATGCAACCTCTTGAAAAGAACTGGGCACCAGTGGCTCAGGCCTGTAATCCTAGATACTTGGGAGGCTATGATCAGGAGGACTGCAATTTGAGGCCAGCCTGGGCAAATAGTTTTCAAGACCCCATCCCCAAAATAACCAGAGAAAAATGGACTGAAGGTGTGGTTCAAGCAGTAGAGCCCTGAGTTCAAACACCAGTCCCCATCTACACACACACACAGAAAATACCAAAAACAATTTCATCTTTATCCTTGGTGTCTGACAGAAAATTTTAAAATCTTTTAATATTCCCTGAGCAATGGGAGGATCTTATGCTGGGGTGACTCAGGGCAGAGCCCCTAGAGAACTTCAGCCAAAGGGACAATAACTAACTATCAGATTCCAGGTCTGGAACTTTCAACCTAAAAGTGTTAGGATTCAGCTAATAAAATAATTATCAAATGAAAGAAAAAAGACAACCAATAATCTCAGTTTGTTCCCAAGGAATTCTGAGGCATGCAAGTAAAGCTTTACCCTTACGAAAATGATTTTTAATTGTCGGTATTGTTTCTTAAGATAGTGAATAATAATGCTCAAGAAAGAAAAAGACATCTAGGGAGAAGAGAAACAATCTCTGTTTGTAGATGACATGATTTTTATTAGAAATTTTGAAGAACTAGTGATCAAGTTCTGTAAGGTTGAGGATGCTTCATCAATATACAACTAATCATATTCCTAAATACTAGCAATGAATATTAAGAAAATAAAATCAAGAAAACAATCCCATCCATAATAGCATGGAAAAGAACACAATATTAGGCATAAATTTAGTAATTAAAAAAAAAAACCTTGTACATAGTTCACGAGACCCAGTTTCAAAAAAGGGCTGGTGGAGTAGTTTAAGGTGTTGGTCCTGAGTTAACCCCAGTACTACCAAAAAATAAAAACAAACTTGTACATTACATACAACAAAACAGTCTTTAAAAAATTAAAGAATGTCTTAAAAGATAAAAAAGACATTCCATTTTCACCTATCAGGAAAAGGTAATATCTTTAAAGTGAAAATTCCCTCAATTTATCTGCCACTTCAACTCAATCCTTTATCAAAATCCCAGGTGACATTTTCACAGAAACTAACAAACTAATTCTAAACTTTTCATGGAAATGAAAGGGATCCAAGAACAGCTAAAATCATCCTGAAAGAGAAGACAAAGGTTGAGGAATTCGCCTTTCTCAACTTCTCAATTTACAACAAAGCTATAGTAATGGAATCAGTGTGGCTCTAGCTTAAGGATCTACATATAGATCTAATGGCACAGAATGGAGAGCATATAAATTGACCTACCATTATGGACACCTGACATTTGATAAGACCACCAGGACAAATCAGTGGAGAACAAAGTACTCACAGTATGATTTTTAAAAATGAAAACAACTGGACACCAGTGGCTCAGGCCTGTAATCCTAGATACTTGGGAGGTTGAGATCAGGAGGACTGCAGTTTGAGGCCAGCCCGGGCAAATAGTTCTTAAGACCCTTTCTCCAAAATAACCAGAGAAAATGGACTGGAGGTATGGTTCAAGCAGTAGAACCCTGAGTTCAAACCCCAGTCCCACCAAAAAAAAAAAAAATACCAAAAACAATTTCATCTTTATGCTTGGTTTCTGACAGAAAATTTTAAAATCTTTTAATATTCCCTGAATAATGGGAGGACCTTGTGCTGAGGTGGCTCAGGGTAGAGCTCCTAGAGAGCTCAGCCAAAGGGACAATAACTAACCATCGGATTCCAGGTCTGGAACTTTCAACCTAAAAGCATTAGGATTCAGCTAATAAAATAATTATCAACTGAAAAAGAAAAAAGACGACCAATAATCTCACTTTGTTCCCAAGGAATTCTGAAGCGTGCAAGTAAAGCTTTACCGTTACAGAAAACATTTTTAATTCTCGGTATTATTCCTTAAGATAGTGAATAATAATGCTATATTTCCTCTATCTAGAATTTGTTAACTCTAGGTATTCCAGCTTCTGCATTGATGTGTGACTGCATAAATGGAAAGAGAACTGAAAAGTTACTTCATGTTTTTGTTTCTCTTCTTCCTCATCTGTTAAATGGGGATAATTCTTGCCTTATAGGATCCTTAACAGAACTACATTTTCTAAGCAGCTGCAGTGCCTACTCTTAAGTGTGCAACTGATAAGAGATCCTCTTACTGCCCTGATTATAATTTTTAACACTAAAGTAAGAACACATAGAGATATTTTAATTAAAGTTTAATTACCATTTGAGGGGGAAGGTGAGATGTCATAAAGTGAAGACATTTTCACATGTGTATTGGAGAGTGCAGGGCTCTTCCTTTTTTTCCTCACTGAGTGGCCAGCAGAATGAGGCTTCTGATTGGTCAGGACTTTATCAGGTGCTTTGGGGGTGGGTGGAGAATGAAAAAGCAGTTCTCCCAAATGAAAAGTAGTATGTAGGGGGGGCGCAGAGTATAGCATTTTCAGGAAGAGTGGAAGGAATGCTAACAGATAAAGCCACAGTTGACTCCTTAAACATACTGTGAGACAGCACTAACTTGCTGTCATTTAGGTTTTCGAGTTTCACTGAACTCAGAAGATGTTAAATGAAAGGTGATTTATATAAATGTATAACTTCAATTAAAAGTCCTCAGGCTAAGGCTGGAGGTAGGGAAAGTCTCTAATTGGCCATAGAATCATGTCTAATCCTATCTTTTGACTATTTTCAAAGTCTTTTCCCTCCTCTCCACTTCCATAGCCCTTGCTCTGCACAGTGCTACATGTTTCTCCAATAAATTACATTACTTTCATAATAATAAAAGGCTAGTCAATAAAATAGCAAAACTTCCATGCAAAATTGTCACTTATTTAAGTGGAACAACAAAATAAATCTTTTTTGCAAAGTTTCTGAGTTGATACTCATCTACTTGTGATAGCCCAGTCTTCTGCCATGTCCCTCAGACCCGCATTGGGTACTCCATCCATCTCCACATCTTGTGTAGTGGCTAAAGTCTTCAAAACCTAATTCATTGGCTTATTATGTGTTGAACAATTTCTCTACACTTGGATTTTACTTTTCACAACCACTTTGTGAAGCATGCATTGTTACCAACACTTAGCAACTGAGGACACTGCAATAAATGTAGGTATCCAGTTATCAGGTGGTAGAGATGGGGTACTGGACCTCAGTACCCATTTTCTTTCCAATGGAAGCCATACA